TATATATGTATGTATGTATCATCAAATAGCAAAGCGCTTTTTAGAAAAAAGATCAACAATCAACAGAGAAATGGTAATATTCTGTCCATGGGTCAAACCCACAAAACTACAGAAGTTCACAAAACAAAAAGAGTGGTTTAAAATAAAAAGAGTCCGTCTGTTCTGGTGAATGCCCCGTGATTGCAATGATGCTCAGGGATCAGCAACAAAGAAACTGCAGTTTACAAATCCAAATATAGTCTATTTTTGGTTTCAAGTAAGAGCAAAAAATAATATTCATAATCAATCAATTTAAGTCTGGAGCAAGCAAACATACCATACCATACCATACCATACCGATATCTTATTTACATTATAATTGTATTTACATCAGGGGATACTGAGGGAAAGTATTTAAATTTAAAGTCCATGTTTAACTTGTTATTTGAAAAATGTAACAGGGAATACGATGCACAATGCAAGGTTCTTTCTTTAAAAAGTGCAATTCCTTTTTCTTAAAGTAAAAAAATATATCTCCTTACTTCTGTATATATGTAGAAATGTTGTTCATATAAACAGCAACTGTTGATTTAAGAGCCCTAAAGCCAGTGACGAAAAATGAATGTGTGTTATTGATAGGCAGCAAATTATCGCTAAAATATAAATTATTTTATAATACTCCATAGAAAATCAGAAGTACCGCATTTTAGCATAAACAGAAACTACTGAGAGTATTTTTTTCTTCCTCTCTTTTAGGAGTGTTTATAGATTTAACTAGACTAATGTGGGCAAGTTTCATCTAACTTATTGTTTATTTAGCCAAAAACATTACTGGATAACAGCAACAACAAAAAAACAAAACAACGAAAAACGTAATACTTCCATAAAATATCTAAGAATAAAACAGTGGTGGACCTGAAGGCAGCCCACAGAACCTCCAATACTTCAGGCTTATAAAATACAAAAGGTAGATAAGCTGGTTTACATGCGTACATGTTTATATATGAATGTTTTTCTTTTTTTTCCCCCTTTTTTTGTTGCTTGTGGAATAACAGTGCTGTGTAAGCAGGAATTTCTTAAAAAGGACATCCTCTACACAGTTATAAAAAGCAAGCGGATATTAAAAGTAAATAGTGGTAAACTCGTGTCTCTTGTTTCCAGTGGTCTGCAATGACACCTTTGTGTGTACCAGTATATTGTGGCAACAAGAGTTTCATCAACTGCTCACCAGGCGCAACGTGTTTCTTCCCTTCATATTCAAGTAGTGTTATGTAGCTATATTTGCACATCTTAGAATAGCTTATACTGAAATGAAATCCTTGCACGGCGTCGGGTGTCTGACCGCAGGCTCTGACGTCACCGGAAAGATGTGGTTTTCCATCGCTGAAGAAAGTCTCTCGCAGTTTCACGCTCTATTACATGCTCGGACATCGTGCTGCTTTCCAGTTCATTTGATAAAATTCATAATGTCATAATAATAATGACGTATACTGTATCATAATGTATATGACTAATTTTTTCCCCCATACCAAAAACACTCTTCGTTTCTTTTCCCCCTTAAGCATGCTCCTTTTACTGAATCTTTCTGTCTCGTTTTAAATGTGCAACTTTAGGATCCGTTGGTGGGTTGTGCGGTCTGTCTGTGCGCCTCTGTGCTCGTGTCCTTGCATTCTCCAGGAAGGATGCCGCCGGCCTGCAGGGCCAGCTGGGTTTGCAGGTCTTTGACGACGCTTTCCAGGCTCTGTCGAGCTTCTCTCTCCTGCTGCAGCTCCCGTCTCAGCTGCTCACGATCGGCTTCTGCCTGTTGCAGCTGCACATGAAGCTCTTCAATCTGCGCAACACAGGAAGCAGCAAGATTAAATGAACGGCAGCCAAGGAATGGGATCAATAACCACAACCGAGTGCACAATATTTTCTAGTGCTCTCGCTGGCTTTGGTCATCTTGGGGGCATCTCACCTGAGTAGAGTATTTGACCCGGAGGCGTTCGGCTTCGCAGCCTTTATCGCAAACTCGCTGCTGTCTCTCTCTCTCCAGCTCTCTCTTCAGCCGCCCACAAGACTCCTCCGCATCCCTCATCTTCCTCTCCCAGTCCACGCGAAGGCGTTCGATCTCCTTTCGCAGGTTGCGCTTGGCCTCGATGGCCTCGCGAAGACGCCCCTTCTTAGCCACTCTCACAAACTCCAGCTCCTGCAAAAACATTCGAATCATCAGAGTTGTGAAAATGAAATCCAGTGAAGCTTTAATATTATTTAGTTTTGGTGAGATTGGTCTCACGGGTTACCTGCTGAAGGCTGCGTTTAGCTTGAAGAGCAGCTGCCAGCTTCTCCTCCTGCTTCACTCTCATCCTGACAATCTCCTGCAGGAGTTTTTCCCGCGCCTCCTTGGTGTCAAGACCAGCATACAACATCTGTCTCATGGTGTCCATCTCTGGGCAAACAGTCCCTGGCAGCCAGGAAGGCCTCTCCTGAGCCCGAGCCATGCTCTGAGGAGTCAGAGTCTGAGACACACTGGTGCAGGCAGACGGAGGTGAAGCCAGGGAGGAAGACTGCACTGGACCTGAGGACAGAGAGAGGTTTTCTATTATTAAGATTGTGATGAAACCCCAACAATATTAGTGTTGTGATTCTCAAAGACTCAACATAAAATTGAGATGCTGCAAATAACCACTAACAGAGAAGACAAGCGTTACAAAAATCAGAAGATCATTGATGTTCACTTGTTCTTCTTGCTTTGCATCTTTAATTATTTGCTACAAATATTTGCATTTTTTGCTACATAAATAGAAAGCCATTATTCCTCTTGTACTTCCCCCCCTTGACACCAGGTGGCGCAGCTGCACAGGAATCACCATGAACAAGCCTGCTCCTTTACTGTGCAATAAAAGTTGGAATCGAAGAGTCTGTGCCCTATATACGCTTTTTCTAAAGCTCAACTACAGTTTATTTTTGTGATTACACTTCAAAAAAACCAGAAAAGATGGTGGGTGGTACTCACCATCATCACAGTCATCCACATCAATCTCTCCATCTGTGTCCATGTCTTCGGCTCGGTTGGTGTTGCTGGAGTGGGCCGGCTTTGTTGTAGGCTGTGCGTCACCATTATGCAGCTCCTGCACGGAAATGGCAGCTGTCCCCCTGTCAGGAGTGTTGCTGTCCTTGGGATGGACCGCAGGGGCCAGGTGGGCAAATGCCAAATTGTGTGTCTCCTGATTCCTCGAGCACGACCTGTGAGGATAATAAACACAGCCAGACTTAAAGCATTTAAATGCTAAAAAAAAGGGCTTGATTAAAGAGGAACTGTAAACAGTTTTAAGCTGTACTTAAAACCAAAACTGTGACATCTTTTGTTTGGAAGGCTCACCTCTCCACCTCATTCTTGGCCGGTTTCTCTTTTTCTGCTGGCTTAGGAGACCAGGGGCGGAAAGCAGAGGGCCTCTGTTTTAGTTGGACCTGTTTCAGATCCTGAAGCAACACAACAACACAACAAGCTTGGATAAACTCAGAAAACTGCTGCTAGAACATTCATTCAAAGGCCCCTCTTTATTCAAAGAAGCCAGATGAAGAGAGGCCATGCTTTAAAGTCCTTAGATCTTTAATCTTTTAAATTACACATAAGTTACGCAGACATATAGTGTACAAACCTTGTGTGCAGACTTTGACAGTGACTGGAGCCAATCGGGTTTCCTGTCTTTGTCAGCTGACTGCAATTTGTCGAATTTGGACCTCTTGGCTCGGATGGGGCTGGGAGACTGACAAGGGAGAAAAGGGGAGTAAACGATTAATCATCACGATCCAGGCAGAGATACGGCACATCATAGACAGCTGAGAAAAACCACACAATTTCTAAAAATGCTACAGTGTGACTGTAAATGGCATTATTCATGAGCAACTCGTCAATTTGTCAGCACATGTAGAGATGTTTTACAGTAAAAGAGCAGAAGGTCACAGAATGAGAAAATATTGCAGAGAAGTCTCAGAGAGGCGAGGAGGATAGACGATGCATCTGTGCAAGCGTTCAGCAACAGAGCCTGGCATGTCTGCATGTTTGTGTGTGTGCGTGTGTGTGTGTGAGAGCAGGGCTTTGAGCTTAGCAGACACTCAAGCTGGTCTGGCTGGCAGCCAGTAAGGCTACATTGCTCCCTGCCAGGCAGGAGAGGCGCCGTCAGGTGGAGAAGATCGACTCCTCGAACCACAGAAATATTGCAATCCAGAGACAGAGGCAGACAGAGAGGAAGACAAATTAAAGTAATTGCACTCAGATCTGACAGGCGATCGAGTAGAAGTGTTCTAAAACGGCTGCACTTTAACACAGAGCTGCCGAGTCATGTGCTGTTTGAGGGCGAGCTGAAAACCTGAGGAGGGAAGAAGCATCTGCCTTGTTAAATGCCACAAAACACTGAATCTCACAAGCTTTTTCCCCCCTTTATCTATGTCGTATGCGTGTGTGTGGCAAGTTGCAGATCCATGTGCTGTGATAGCGAACATCCTCAACCAGGTCTGCACTTGTCAGACAGAGGATATGTTTACCTAGGCAGGCACAGAGGCCAGCACAGACCTGCCGGGTCGTTCTCTTACTCACTACTATGACATCCTGCCTCCAGGAATGGCAAACACTCCCATCTCCTTGTCTGCGCGTGCGATTCGAGACAAACGATTACTCTGTTTACCTTCAAAATCCTCAATGAGAAAACACTCCCTTTGGTGTAGTTGTGCAACCTTTAATCGCCAATTGCTGTGATCACCTGGAGATGGATATTAACAATAAACTTCATTTAGTAGGAAGCCCAGCCGGTAATGAATCACGTCTCACAGATTTGCAGCACGAAGCCAGACTCTGCGTGAGCGAGCGTGTGTGCGCTCACACTGCTATGAGTGGGTGTTGGGACATGTGGGGAAGTGGGTGGCTGCGGGTGTAGACACGCATATGTGCATGTGGGAGGGTATGGAGTGAGTGTGTGTGATAAAGTGCGGTTAGGGGTGGAGGTGTTAAGTCAGGTCTGGCACTGCATACCTGAACTATAGATACCACGTTTGAATTGGGTTAATTTACAGTATCACCTATTAGGAAACTGCTTACCGTCACAAGTGAGTAGTTTTCAATTGTTCTAGTAAATCATTTAGGTTGTTTAAGCCTTTGATGAAAATTATGGCTGGAATCTTTGACTCTTTGACATTTTCTAGACCTTCCCGGTTTGATTTGAGCCTACATTTGTAAGCTTTATGAAGTGTACATGACATGTTTGTCTGGACACTCCCCTCCAGTCTGCCTGCCTTACAAATGTCTCTACCCGTCTAACCAGTCACCACGGTACACACACACACACACACCCATTTACAAGCCCGCTGGTTGGATTTGCTACTGTAAGGTAGTTCTTTTAACCTAGATTAACCTCCTGACTGTGTTTAGCAGTGGTGACTCGACCCCTCACCTGCCTGACTCAAGGCTGGTGGTGTTCTAAGAACTGCTGCCCTGGTGTAATAAGACTCTGTAATTACTGCCGTGACTGTTGTTTTCCTGACAAAGGATGTCTGCCTGTCTGGTACTATTTCTACCCTGAGGTTTGCAGCTCCAGGAAGGCTACGAGCACTAGACATAATAGAGCCAGAAAACAGACACTCCCAGACACCACAAGGGACCTACTGGCTAAATATGACACTGACCTCACAGGAGAGCAGCCACACGGGCTTTACTCATCACCACATCATAGACATAGCATGGTCATGGAGTCAAAACACCCCCCCCCCCTTATACATCCTATTGCCTCGCAGGCCCAGATAGGACATCCATCCCCATTTCTCTCACACTGGAAGGAGAGGGAGACTTCCTCTGAGGAGTTTGCTTTGGCTGCGTCCCCTGTGGGAACTGAGAATTGAGTGGGAGGGGGGAGGTGAGCCAGAAGAGGGGGGACCACAGAGGAAGCACTGAGCTGAAGGAATGTATACTTGAAGGCCAAGTACAGCCTCCCCTTTCAGACTCCATTCAAGCATTGCCCTTTTCAACTCACTATTGTATGATATTTCTCTGAGGCGCTGTAATGAGGGAGCGGTTCAAAGCAAACCTGTAGGCTAAACAGGGTCTAATAGCAGAAGGGCAAGAGCAGGCATGTTTTATTTTTTAATTAGTGCTACATAATGGCGTGGCAATACAAGGATAAGCTCCAGGTTTTTTTCCACCCCACAATCTTATCCCGGTGTGGCAAACACACACAACACAAGCATATCGATATCTGTTCAAAGAGCGCAGCGCTCGACCTGCGTGAATCACGATTTCTCGTCATCACGCCAACTGGAGCGTGAATTTGACTGAGCCGTTTTTTTCACTTGAACATGGATGCAATCAACAATATTTGTTCAGTGACTGGTGATATGGGACCGGCGTTCAGCACGAGGGGGAAAAGCCTAATCTTAACATGGTTAACTTGGTCAGTCGACGTCAGCAAGCATCATACTGCAGATGATGGAGATTAAAGTTTAATCCCTTAGTTTCTCCATAGCAGCATACCAGCGTCCACAGAGCCCCTGTGAAGGGCTATTTTCTCGACGCACGCTTCATCTGCCATTAGTGAGAGACGCCAGAAAAGGAAGTGAGAATGGAGGGGGATGTGAGAGGATCAATGAAAGCATGAATGGATGCGTAGCAGGCAGGAAAGTGGGTGGATGAAGAGGGAAGAGGTAGCTGATTGGAGTGTGTGTAAAAATGTATGACCCTAACTCTTGAAGTTTGAAACTATTTCTGGTTGTTGCCATTATTCTATCCATCCATCCATTCGCTTCCGCTTATCCTTTTCAGGGTCGCGGGAGCCTATCCCAGCTGTCATAGGGCAAGAGGCGGGGTACACCCTGGACAGGTCGCCAGTCTGTCGCAGGGCGTACACACAGAGACAGACAACCATTCGCTCTCACATTCACACCTATGGGCAATTTGAATTAATCAATGAACCTATCCCCATTATTCTAACTTTCTCACTTCTAACGTTAGCAAAAACGCAGACACAACCAATCAGGCAGGTTGAACAGGCACAGGGTTTTAGCGAGATCATGTAAGCCGGAGATGTGGAGGTTAAACCGAAATTATAATATGCAAGTGGCAAGGGTCCAAGTGCAAGTGCTCATGCCATTTTTAAAACCTGTTTCTGTGCATGTTTCTCTGTCTATAAAAAAAGATTAGGTGAGAACAGAGTTATTATTGTTATCTATAGCTTTAGGAATGATGCACGACGAGAAGATTATCACCTCTTTCTCTTATTTATCTGTCAGTGAAATATGTTAGCGTTAGAGCCAGTTTCTAGGTAGCTTAGCTTAGCTTAGCATAAAGACTGTGAAGATTATAAAACTGCTAGCCTGGCTCTATACAACAAAATTACGATAAACAATTTATATATCTATATCATGTGATTAAGTGAGTGTTTGGGTGCTGGTAAGCAGAGTGGCTAGATAAAAAAAGAATAAAAATGGCATGAATAATCTAATCTCTGAGCAACAAAACAAAACGCTAAGAGCTAATAAGCCTGTTGGATCTGCTGAAAGGGTAAAACTGAAACCCCTAGCATCTGTTGTGCTACTAAAAAAAACACTGCAATGAAATTATCAAGAAACAAAACATGAGGCAACACTCATATGGTAAGACCAAAATAGCTGAACTTCCTGCAGGGCCCCAGTCATACAACACCAACGTATGCTGCATGATAGCATGGCATTAAGAAAAGTGCACAGCAACAAGACACAACAGTTTCAGATTACGGCCTCCTTTCCCCTCCTAAACCCCTGAATGTAATCCCCAGATCGACATGTGCTTACTGGGGCGCTGTCTCACTCAAGGGCACACCAACTGGCATGGCTCACATGGGTAATAGCCTTAGTTGGAAGTGAAGGAATACTAGTTTTGGTAATCTGATCCCTATGGTTTGGTGTGGACGGTCACAGGGATGCCTTAAACGCTCTATTCAGCTCTCACTGCATAAATTGTACGACAGTCCCTTGATTTATATAAAGCCCTGTGGTCACTGTAACAGCTGGGGAAGTATTATTGGTGTCTGCCCAGAATATCCCTGAAACTTCATCCCATATTCCACACAGATACCGGGGTAGCTCTCATTTCCCCTCTCTAAAGCTTAGCTTAATTTATCAATTTACTGTGTCTCTGCTTGAGAATATTTTGTTTACGTGGCTGAACTGAGCCATGGCAGCGTAGCCACACAGAGACAGCCGCAGGGCCAGGCATAAGGACGGCATTACAGCGGAGCTTATTGGATTGTCCTAATTGTCTTTGGGATTGAGACTTGATGAGGTCTGAGGAAGATGCAGGACAAGCTGGTGTTCCTAAAGGTGGAAAATCTCATCAGATGCACACAGCCTGACACATATAGCTTAATGGCAGAGGAGCAAAACAGTGCAATAATATCATTCACTTATTAATCCTGACAACGTAACAATATTTTAAGACCCAGTCTTTAAGTTTTACTTTGCTGAAAATAGAACAGGATGTTGTACTGATTACAGTTCGGTGGCAAAATGCTTGACTTTGAAGTTGCAATAAGTGCAAATTTGATTTTATGTGCCCACAAGAGAAAAAAAAAAGTGAAAACAATTTTGCATATAAGCAATGCTACAATGGGCAAATCCAGACCTGCTGTTTAATGACATTGTTGCTTGTATCCTTACATGCAAATGTCATCTTTTCGTGTTTTGACAGTGCAAATACACGTCTATTGCTTTGACATTTCTGCACGTACTTCACAATGCCATGGCT